AGTGCATGAAAGTAGTGTTAGTTGCTATAGCAAACAGACATCGGGTGCTTTTCTTTCAGAATTATCATTCGCCGATGGAGAGGAAAAGTTAAATACTATAGCATTTTATTTTATGAAAATTAGATAAAGAAGTGAAAGAGAAGTGATCTCGCGTTCAAAATACTTACAACGTGCCAGGCTATATCTGCAGCTAATCTAATAAACACAATAAATAAATAAAATTGATGAATGATGCAGTGCTAATTGACATATCATTTATTACAGTACAGAAACTATAAAGTATATTTTCTCCCTAATTCTTTTCAGAAAATTGAGATTAATTGTTTGTAGTATATAAAACAATCATAAAATTGCCATTAGGAAAAAATTATAGATTACAAATGATTGATTATTGTCCAGCAGTGTATTTGATTTCTTATAGCAAATTCAAAGTAAGATAAGAAAATAATTCCTTTTAAAAAATAAATAGATAAATGATATATATATATATATATATATATATATATATATATATATATATACATTCATAGGCCTACATAAAATTATTATTTCTGTCACTTCTGAAATGATGGCTATGCCCGTGGTGTTACAAAATGTTAAATCTTGGCTTACATAAATTTCTACATATGCCATGTCATGCCATAGCATCATTAAACTAGCATCTAACAATGGACAAAAGTTTTTTTCTTTTTTTTCTCTAACTTGTAACGGCTGTAACATGGTTCTCTAACTATAAAGGCTGCTGTGTAGTTTGCCCCCTGACTAAGCATTTAAAGAATTTAGGGGAAGCATTTAAATAATCCTGTGAATGCACTTAAAGAATGCAGAATCGAATCGGATCGAATTTAATTGTGAATCGAATCGAATCAAATCATTCTTAATTTGCAAAAATCGTTCTTGAATCGAATCGAAAACCTATGAATCGTGAATTGAATTGATTCGCTGTCTACCCAAAGATTCACAGCCCTAGTCAGAACACATCAACCCTAACTACTGATTTTGAATTAATTTTTTCAGTAATTTTTGATCGATTTAATGCATCCTGTTTTTATTGTTTCTATGGCTAAAAAATGATTGTTATTCAGCATGGCCTGAAAAGGCTAATAGTTTTGCATACAATGTCCCATTTATCTTCACTGTAAATTAATTTATTGAGGGGTTTAGCCTTCGGGCTATTCTCCAAACATAAAAAAATCACATGCATTGTGATGTGCCACACAGTAGCAAAGAAGCTAAGCATATAAATTCTAAATGTTTGTACTGGAAATCTGATCTGAGGCATATTTTGAGGGATTTATTTGAATAGTTTATCAAAAACGAGACCGGATGTGTTGCTGGAGCATTTCAGTTTGCACCAAGATTTGCCAGCATTAATTATTCAAACACCCCAGAGTTATTTTGTGACTACAGCGAGAGCAAGATGCTTGCAGATGCAATTAATCGTGTTTAGTCAGAGAACACAGTTGCCTTTCTGCAAATATTTGTGCTTGAGCGAGAATATCCAGGATTTAGACTAATTATCAGCATAAATGGTTGTAATTTGATGGAAAACTCCCAAAGCTAAAACTACAAATGTGAGAAGACAACGACCTACTGGTATCACACATCTATGACAACTGATACCCATATTTGGGCAGAGGGAACAGGAAGCTGTTCAGTATTCCACACACTCGTGCAGCATTGAAGAGGCAGACGAGGGAAGCTGTTTTTGTAAACACTGACATCACCAAGGAGGCATTCTGGGACTCTAAATCCACAGCACGGGCCGCATTCACATTACTCTTGCTCTCTCATTCTCTCTCTAGCGGAACTTCTCCTGTTAAGGCAAGTGTTTCATCTATTTTTAGCTCACGGCTCCCTCTCTCTCCTCGGACCGGCTGCGTTCCTGCATCAGTGCGTGGGCTGACTGCAGGTGGTGGGTGATGCGATACGCACAAGTGCTGCATTGAAGAATCACCGTGCATCTCTTCACAGCAAGAGACCGCAAGTTATTCAGAGTTGAGGATGCGATGAAGAGGATGATAACGGAAATTTATGAAATTTTTATTACTTCCGCTCATTCGATTTTATAACTGGTCACGTCCTGAGATTTGACATCATTAGAGGTGCTAATCTAGTCCTGTTTACACTTGGTATTACCATTCATCTCAGGTGATTCAAAGTGTTCAGAAGAGTTACAGTTGACACCGGGTTGTAACCATTTAATCAGTCAGGTGACATCATTTTGTAAATCAACTAGACAGTGGGTTCCTTGAATGACAAGTTGACTTATTCTTAAAGGGATATATCACCCAAAAATGAAAATTTACTCAACCTTTAAGTGAAACAAAAAGATACAAAAATTGTGAATTTGCACTTTCATTCAGCTCGTCTGCTTTTTTTATGCATTAGTCTCAATAGGCAAATTGCACATAAAATTTTGACTGAATATTTTGTTTCTGTTGGTATGAACATGCCTTCAGTGGGGTCCAATGTTGTTTAGACACCAGCGTTTTTCAAAATATCATCTATATGTGTTCTGCAGAAGAAGGAAATACTGTACATATTTGACATAAGGGCAAGAAAATGGCAGATTTTTCATTTTTGGGTGAACTATCCCTTTAAGAAAATTCTGTATATTGGGCTGGGCGGTATCTTAGGCCATGTCCACACGTACACGGGTATTTTTATAAACATGCAAAAGCATGCTATAAAGCACTGTCAAGAGCATGCCAAACCAACAGGTGGTGATATGATCTCGACCGTAAAGCCATGTTGGCCAATCAGAAGCCTGAAAAAGTTTCCAGTAGGTGGAGATAACAGCGCATGCTCCGACGTGACAAGCCAAAATCTCCGGTTTCGCTGTCTACACGATAACACTGCAACTGGAGTTTTTGAAAATCTTCACCCTGGCAGGAGTTTTCAAAAATGTTTGGTTTCAGTGAACTGGTGCTGCGTTTGCATGTAGACAAATGGCCAAACCGCATAGAAAAAGCTGCGGTTTTGAAAATACCCGCGTTTGTGTGGACAGGGCCTTAAACTGCATCTTAATCTATCAAAAAAACAGTGTGTGAGATGTGATGCGAATTGTTATGTGATGCAACGGCAAGATTAAAAAATATATTTAAAAAAAAATTTGAAAATATAAAAAATGTATATTAAAATAAATACATATAATATTATATAGTAATAAAATACAAATACAAATAAAAGAAACAGGCCTATTCCACATGCATAAGTCAACTGCACTAATAAACTAGGTTGTTGGACAACAAATCAACATCCATAAGCAATAATATAGCACAGGGACACACAAGTGCACACACACCTCAGGCATGTGAACTGTGCTAGCCATTAAGCTTCAGATCTTACATTATTAACGCACATGTAGCCGCTTTTGTGCAATATCCTTTAAAACCCTTCAGTTCATCTTAGAGACATGCTAACAAGTCCAAGAAGACAGGAACATCTTCACGTGGGGCTGACTGTGACAGGAAAAAGTATTTGACTGAGATTGTGTGACTGATTTTAAAGATTCATGGCCATCATCATGATGGTCTAAGGCCAGTAAAGCCTCCCATTTACAGAACTGCCTTCCTTATAACATACAATTATACTAAAGCCAGAAATAAGTCTGTATCAATTATTAACACTGGGCTAAGACCTCACTTAAGAGATTTATTTAAGCGTGCAGCAATTGGTTGAGTCCACATGGCTGATGCCATAGTCTACATGTGCTTAAACGCACGGACCCTCACCCACACAGTCTGCATGAGTATAAATTCATGACTCAGATTCATTCTGCAAGTTGGATAAAAGTTTCCACTTCATGCCACTGTTGTCTTGCTAGCTCTTTCAAAGTCTCTGGATCTAAATAACACTGACATTAAACACACACTTACAGAACAACAAACAAATCCTAACAAAACCTGTCACTCATAAATGAACACACACTTCTTTGTCTTGCTCATGCAAATCAATCATGTACTCACTCAGAAAGCAACCAGACAAAGGAACTGGTATGTTTTGTGGTTATAACATGCATCTGGAAAGCTTTCGGGCCATGTGAAGACAAGAACGAGACTCAGGGAAACAGAGACACATGCAACAAACTGTCAACAAGTGTAAACTTACAGCACTGTTGATTAGATACCTGTAAAATCTAGGGATGCACCAACATTTACTCCCTGGCTGATGTTTATGTTTTGGCTGTACTTCATATCCAATATATGCTGCTTCTATAATAAAAAATAAATATTATATATTTGCAGATATTGGGCCAAAATGCTGTCGATATATTGTGCATCCCTAGTAAAAGCTGCATGATAATTCTAATGCACATGTATTTGTATGTACAGGCACAGACAGATGACATGAGCATTACTGGAACAGCTGTAGAAACATAAGATAATCAATACATGCATGCACACATTAAATGCACTGTTGAGAGAGGCTGCCACACAATTTAAATATTTCAAGAACATTACTAAAGCCATTTTACGCAACAAAGATGCACGAAGGATGCCATCTGAATCGGTATATATGCTAGAAAATACATAAACTTTTATAGCATTTACACAAATCACAATTAAAAATGTATTGTTTGTTATAATGCACAGCAGAATGGCAGTTTATGGTTGTGAAAGTGCAAATCAAGTTTTTGCATATTTTACGGCAAAGGAAAAATGTATATGCATCGAGAACCATTTTATAGTCTCATCACGACTCCCTAAATCTAAATTCTAATACAGATAGATGATTTTTCATAGAGAAACACGGAAATAAGACAACAGGATAGATGAACACAATGCAACCAACCACCAATAAGCAAATGAGTGAATCTGCAGAGTGTGTATGTTTGTACAAAGATAGTGTGTGTTTTATCCAAAGATACAGTCTTAAATATGCTGTACTATGTGCTCATACATCCAAAGCCATTCACACTGAAACCATCAAGTTATTATCTTTTGCAATCCCCCTCCCAATCATAGGGGGCACTGCAGCTACAGTCTATAACTCACCAAGATCCTTAGAGCCGTGACTCTCGCTGGCCAGCTCTCCCATCCGCACCAGTGCGTCGAAGTAGCCTTTTGCTGCAAATGTCACACCTGGAAACATGGAAGCATTGGGGACATAAGAATCGGGACTGTGCTAATGTGCTAACCCGAAGCTTCCCTCAACCCACAGGTGCCGCATCTATGGAAACAGGAGTGGTGGATGGGAAAGCTTTAAGCTCTATATGTTCTATGATGGCTCGGCCAGAGAACTGGGGGAGGTGGGGGTGGAGCTTGTGATTGGTGAGCGATGAATAGCAAAAGTACTATTATTTAAAATAAAAAACAAACAAAAAAAGCTTGATGCCCTCCAAAACTTAACATTCACATCAGATAGCACATTACTGAGAGCAATCACTCATTCTGTGTGAGGTCCCACCACAGGGACAGCTGTGACTCTTCTGCATCACCATGGCAGAGAAGGGCTGGCTCACAATCAGGCTCTCTCGGAGCCAGAGGATCATGGCAGTTTAGTGAGGCGGGACAGTGCCAAGAAGCACAAAGTGTTTTAGAACTTAGGACCAGAAGGTACTGAGCAAGTGGTTAGCAAAGGTTAGCATGTTCTGCCTTGAATTCATCATTTTAAAACGGTTAAAATTAGGTAAGAAACAAACACAGCATAGATAATTTGATGCAAATATGAAAGGCTGTGAGGGACAGAAGTACATCCAATTTGTTGTAGAATCACATCTAATACTCAAATAATGTTTTTGAGAGTTTTGAAGTACGCAAACAAAGAAATGTTTTGCTTTGCACATTTGTTTCATGCATTGTTGCATTTCAAAATGCTGCAATTACAGGAAAGCTCTGTTCCAATACTGGATTACCAAGTATTGGAAAAGTAATTTTATTCTTACATTTTAGATTACATTTGTCGCCATCTAACTTTGGTATTAATCATTAAAACAATACAATTTAATAACACTGTAAAACACTGTAATCTTTAGCAAATCTCAAAATGAATATCCATTTTTTATTACAATGTACAGAAATGTTATGCCTAAATCTACTTGTAGCATTTGAAATAATTTATTTAGACAAAATATAATATCAGCCATAAAATTAAAATCGACTTGTCTGTATCAGAATGACACAATTCTGCACAAGAATTTTAATAATGGTGCATCCCTATCTATTTCATTACATAGTGAATGTACACAAGCATTGCATTCTCAGCACTGCCACATGTACTTGTGCTGTAAGATCTGCTTCTGGCCTCTGACATTTTGAATGGACTGTTGTATTCTATCCCTAACAGCCTTGTTGACATTCACATCAAATTCAATATGCCGTATGACCATCCCAATTCAAGGCAGTGGGAGTGTTTGGGTGGAGGTGGTAAGGCTACACCAATGGCAGCCCAATCACGTATGAATGTGTAGACTTATTTACAAGTGTCCGCGCAAATCCTAGGCTCAGGATAAGGTGCGTCCTGGTTGTGAGGGATTAGAGGGGGAAATCTGAGGGCTTTGGTGCTCCAGCGGTTAGGCTGAGTGGTAAGGGGTAAAGGAAAGAGAGAGGCAGCAGAAGGAAAGAGGATTACAGAGGTCTGAAAAATAGGGCAGAAAGTCTCTCCAACCATCTCTGAGGAAACATTGATCAGTCACAAGAGACAATCTGAAGTTAAAAACCACAGAGAAGCCCAATCTAGACCCAGTTATCACATTGCAAGTTTGTGTGTGATATCCTCTAGCTAAGTTGCTGACAGAAGTCTCCATTAAATATAGATATTAAAGTCTTTGGTCACTAATTATTCTTATCCTAATTATTTTTTTAACCTCCTAACCCTTTCAATCCTTCATTTTTAAGAGTCCTCCAACACTTCCAAGGAAAAGGCAAAGGAGGGGGATGCTTTAGGCTTAACAGCTGCTTATGCACAACATATCTCAACATAATAATCTACTCTAGAGCATGCAAATGGACCTCCAAAATATCTTTGTCCTCTAGTCACTGTTGGACAATTGCAGCCAATATTTCGTTTTGGACTATGACATTTTAATGATCTATTAATTTCACTATTGGTTTCTTGCATTTGCCAAGCAGCCCAAAATCTTGCAAATGCCCAGTGGCCACCATCTGCACTATTCATTAGTGGGTACTGTGGAAGGTTTCCACTTTGCTGCCTGCAAGACCTGGCATATTTACAACTCCAGCAAATCCCCATGATGGATCCTGCAACCCTTCGTAGCTGCAGCCAAGGCTGATCTGCAAGGATGGGAGCGCAAATCTCACTAGAGTTGGGTCTATTTTTAACCGTATCTATCGGACTTCACACTCTCGCACACATACACACCCTCTAGAGCGTTGGTCTTTTTCTTGTATTTTCTCCCTCATAAAATATTAGATGAAGTCTGGAATGGTGAGGAAAGTGATTGGTTCTCTGCAGTACTTGGCACAGTGAAACTCTACAGGGATTCAATGCTCATCCTAAAGCTTCTGCCTCGTCCGTGGAGCTAAACTGAACACAAGAACTCTGAACACATTATACCTTGAGATCAGACAATGCGGCAGCATTATTTACCTGAATATAACGCAAATCCCATTGGTTTAGCATCTGCTTAAAACTGTAAAACACCCTAACAATGTGTCCAAACTGATAAAAGGGACAAGTGATTTAAAAGTTCTCTTTCATATTAATCAGAATTTTCCTAACCAGCCACGATCACGACTTATCTGTTTAATCTGTCGTTGTTTTTTTCTATTTCTACGACATCCCGCCAAGTAAACCTCACCCAGAGTGAAATCTCACTGGACCGAAATACTACTCCTCATACATACAGTATTAAACATCAAATATGAATGAGGAGAGACTGTGTAAGTTTAGAATCATATTTTTTATTGGATATTAAATAACAAAAGGAAAACCGCAAAAAGCATGAAAATACTAGCTTTGTGTTCTTAGTTTTACACTAGAGTGTTCACAAAATTAGTAGAGCCTGTAGTAATTGGCTGCATTTTATGATCAATTAGGTCTCATGTCTGGTTTTCGAGTTCGGTACACAAAGATAAACTGTTTGTCGTCTTGTTGCATCGTACCTGGTTAGTTTTTTTCAAGAGTGTTACATGTTAAAAATGATACATTGTTAGTAAATTGTTATTCTCAGAATAAAGTATTGTGAAAGAAAGAGGCAATGCAGAAAAGGACATTTAATCGATGCCCTGAACACCATATACCTGTGCTACCTAGCGTTGTATTTGCCATACTCAGTCCTCCTTGTAGTGAAATATCATTCTTGTCCTGAATATACATCGTCCCTGTTCCCTTTTTCGCTCCCTCCGTGGAACTGTGTCTGCTCCCAAAGCTCTCTCTGGCCTATTTATGCCTGTCCTCTGTTCCATTTTACTCTCCCTTCCTCCCAGTGCATATTTTTGCTCTGAAACACCTACGTTCTTGTCCTTGCCCTTGCCCAGTCAACATCTCGAAAACACACATGAAGGTCCGCACACATAACAGAAATACATCATCGATTGTCATTGGTTACATGTATGTGACAGCTCTGGAGATGCAACATGCATGAACCGGATGAATGTTTAGGGGGTTTCAGGGTGCAAATGGATTTAGACATGTAACATTCTAATACATCATCACTACGAGAGAACAGGAAGTCTTCTGCCCCACAAACAAAAACATTAATTCTTAACAAACATTCAACAAACATTTAAACAACATTCTACTAGAGTTCAATGCAAGAAGTTTGAGGTTTTACATTAGCAATAACAAATCCCAGATGCTAGTCACAAAGATGTATGCAACCAAGGAGGGGCACTCTCCGTAAGCATGAATTTCAAGCAATTTCTTCTCATAAATTAAAGCAGACCTATGAAACAAGAGCTGGCTCATTGCCTGCGAGAGTGATAATGAACAAGCCACTGATGTACTCACTAGAGAGGGCCTTCTCGTAAGTCTTCCCCATGGCAACAAAGTTCCTTAAGCAAGGGTTGAACTGCTCCATGATGGACTGAAACAGAAATAGCACAGCTTTAGTCAGCACAACAGCAGCAGTCACCATTTAGCGGTCATTCTCACCACTACCAAGAACACCAATGGGACAAGCAGATAATTAAACAGGTGAACTTCTTTTTCTGTAAGTCTATATTACAAATAAAGTGTTTGTCTTTTGGGGATAGGTGTGTATATAAAGATGCAGTGCATTTGCAGATACCAAGAAAAGATGGATAGAGAGAGAAAGAGTGAGCCAGAGCTCTCACGCCCCCACCTTTCAGAACATTCTCATTAGTGGGACTTGGAGGGCATCATGCCAGCTGGGATTTGCCGTTCCTTTGTTGCTGGTGGGCACAGGATTGTGGGAGTATGTGGAGAGCTACCCACTGCCTGACTCACCTAATCCAACATTAAGAGTTGCTCTTTAAAATCTATTAATTTCTGCTGAAGCTCCTCATTGAGGAGACCTCTTCCTCTTCTTAAAAGAGCTTTGCTGGTTCATTCAGAGTAAAATCACTTGCTATATCTCGACTTGACAAATTTGTTCTGAGAACATTTTCCCCAGAGTCACGTTGTTTCTAGAGGCTTCATCACGGCTTTGAAAATAACAGGGCAGCATATAAAGGGACAGAGAAAGGGTTCAAAAAGACAGTCTAAGAAAGCTGAAGAACAGAGGATGTACAAAAAAAACCAATAAAGCATTGTACAATACAGATACTGTGGCAGCTGTGGAGAGAGAATGAAGCTATATGAATGAAAGTCTCTACTCGGTTTATCAGAATTGGAGTGGAGTTGTTTATGAACTCAATTAAGGTCGACGGTAAACTGATTGCTTGGGTATATCCCAAATCCCCCCACCCTGTGCTCCAGTTACAATGAAAGCAGGTTTCCATTGAAAATTAGGACAAAGACAGACTTCTTCCATCTGTAGGCCTATGTGTTGCTGCGATGCAAACTGAGATTCAGAGGTCTTTAGAGAACATGCAATTAATAAAAAAAACATTTAATCTGAAATTTTTTTATTTGCCAATATGAAATTAGAATATATATTATACTCTTTGTACACTATTTATACAAGTTTGTCCTCTGTGAGATTTTTGTGTTAAAAATTTTGTCAGCTTTGCAAGTCCTCAGTGTCACATAATCTTCAGCAATCATTCTAATATGCTGATTTGGTTTTCAAGAAACATTTCTTATTATTATCAATATTGAAAACAGTTGTGCTGCTTTATATATTTGTGGAAACTAAGAAACATTTTAATTCAGGATTCTGTGATGAATAGAAACTTCGAAAGAACAGCATGTATTTAGATTTTTTTTGTAACAATCGCTCCAAACTTTTGAAGAATAGTGTATATTTATAATTATTATATATACTTACGAATATACAAATGTAAGCTAAATACAATATTGATAAGCTGAATAATGAGAGCAGAAGCAGACAGGACAAGTAAATCAGCCCCAAATAAATCATTCGTAAACATCCGTGTCTTTCTTTCACTGTCACATCTTATCTAACAACATCTCAACTCACAATTATTTCTTATGTAATTCATCATCTGCTGCATGCAATCATACAGCGGAGTCTGTCCAGTGGTACTAATCTTTGTTATAAAAGCCTTATAAAGCAAAAAAGAAAATGCAGACCAACAAATAAACACCAGCAGAAGAGATGAGAAGGAAATAAAGGCATTGGAGAAATTCATGGTCGGGTGCAAACACAGCTGGCATGTTTTCATCAAGGAAGGAATTACACAAACATAGTGTGATAGATCTCACTGCACCACATTCCTGTGAGATGAAAGCACATGATCGCATTCATGAGGTGAAGTATACAACTGGTATTCATACAATGACCAGGGTGTGTTTTGCATGTCAGATTTGGTAAAACATGTATAATTTCTGCACATTTTAATGTCCACTAATGGTATCAGTATAATATCATAATGTCCCGCATAAGTGCTGTGGTTAAACATGACCAGAATGCAATGCGCTGCAAACCTTAAAATCTCATCCATTCTATATGTACATGGGAAAGACTAAAAATCACTAAGCCAATAAATTTAACCAAACTATTTTCCTCTCCCCAACAGTTTCCAGAGAGCTCTGTCCGAGAGAAATCAGCATTATGCATGAACCAGTGCCAAGCTGATGTCCACCCAACATCTAATCATTAAAAGCATTAAAAACACTCCACTGGGAAAACTCTCGTTCCTTGATTAGTCCCTCAGCAATCAATCTATGTTTAACAAGCATGAACGAGAGCAACCAAACCCCCGATTAGGTGTCATTTTCATCTCAGTGCAGCTCTGCCAGACACTAAACACAGATTACCATGTCATTTTTCAGCACTTCATTACAGACATGTTCATTAGGACATAATTAATAGTCTTAACTAATGAGCAAGATTTCATATTGATGCATATTCTATCAGCAGGACCTCGTTTAAAAACAGCAGGGGGAATTGCACGCTCCCCCTGAAATGAAGGTGCGCACACATATTACAGTATCAAGTACAGCACTAAATATGAATGGTTTTATTAGATAATGCAGGCAGTCACCGACGGAAATTTATAATTTTCCCTTTTTTATAAAATAGAGCAGAGGACCAAATGAAGGACCATTTCAGTCTGTTAAAAGATATCCAACTATATCAGCAGAAATATGCAGCCATTTATTGAACTTTACCCTTAGAATGTCTTTGTAAACTGAGTTTAATAAAAAAATAAGGAGCCTTTGAGAATATAAATGAGTCCTCGACAGATTTTCTGTATTCACATGCACACAGTTTGGCTTCGTCATGGTAATACATTGAGAAATGGGAGAACGGTAAGTGTTTGTTGAACTAGCAGGGTTGTAAACATGCTTCATTTACCACAGACATAAGGGATACATCAACACCTAAAAACTTGGTGCTACTGCATATAAACCTGCTACAACACAAACCTATGATGTGAAACTAATGCAGCTGCAGTCTCAGACAGCTTGGAAAAGATTGATGAATGTAATCAACTCTTGCATCTGTGTGTGTGTGTGTGTGTCAGTCCAATAACAATCTATGCCTCAATGTCAGGTGGTTAAACAAAAGTGCCGTTTTCATCTTTATGTCTTCAATAAGCATAATAAAACATGGTTAAAGCAGCCGTGTGGCCACTGATGTAAGTTGCAGTCTAGTAAAGACTTGCTGCTGTTCACCGTTATGTAATTCTCTTGAGTCCTACAGCTTCAGGACAATTGAGTATGGAAATGGATAATGATGATGTGTATTAATCAATGTGTCTGAATAGGTTTTCAACAGTTAACCTTCGGTTCAAAGCACTGCATTGCACTGTCAATTAATTTGATTGTTCGATGCTGGAAATTACCTGAAATTAATACACTTATTAGAATTATATACAGTGGGCCTTTGAAACTTTTGGACACTTACGTCACACTGTATGAATGTCACTGGCATAGCATTCAAACATTTTTAAAACCCCGTTGTGATTCCAAAGAAGCAAATGTGCAACTTTTTACCATTATTCTGCAAGTATATAGAGAACAACAAACTAAACGTGGGCAGGAAGTTTCACTTGCTAAATAACTACAAACTCAAGGTGACCCAGACTTGTATTTTTCCAGCTAGACATGTTTTCGCTTGTTCAGAAAGACCCCTTGCACCCTGAATCAGTGTAATTTACATATTGTAAGATAATTTAGTAAACAACACATTTCAGCTTTGTCTCACACACACACACACACACATGCTCTTTCTAAGAGATGTAAAAGCAATATGCTATCCATATACCTTCTACGTCTCATGAACAGAAACATCATGTTTTGTAAACCACATCAATTCTTGTTAATCATGCAAAACGATTCCTTAAATATACATACAGTAACAGTATACACACATAAGTATATAGTTCTTTCCAAAGATATTTAGTATGAAATTAAAATTCACCCTATGTATTTTCAAAATGCATGTTAATGATTTTATTGTGAACAATTCATACATGCACATTTTCCTTGTAATTATTCATCATAATATCATGACTTGATCTTCTGGTGTAAAGACTGGTGACATATACCTGACCTCTCCAATAATTTCACCCACTTAAACCCCGTTATCAAGAGAAATCTTGATAACACCATATTGAGCAACTATAGACCAATATCAAATCTTCCTTTTATAGGAAAGATTATTGAAAATGTAGTCTTTAATCAGCTGAACAAATACTTAAACTCAAATGGATACCTGGACAATTTTCAATCTGGTTTCCGACCGCATCACAGCATTAGTTATCATGCCACCCGCAGTTGGAATCAGCTTCCAGAAGAGATCAGATGTGCTAAAACATTAGTCACATTTAAATGCAGACTCAAAACTCATCTGTTTAGCTGTGCATTTATTGAATGAGCACTGTGCAATGTCCGAACTGATTGCACTATATTATATGTATAATCGTCTTCTTAAATTCATTTTAAACCTCTTAAATCACATTTTTTTTTTCAACGTTTTTAAATTCCTTGTTTTATTGTTGTGATTATTGTTTTTATTTTATTTTATGTAAAGCACTTTGAATTACCATTGTGTATGAAATGTGCTATACAAATAAACTTGCCTTGCCTTGCCTCTTTCTTAAAATTGACAATCTTGCAAACTCGGATTCACCTGATTGCCTCCATCCATTCAGCAATTGATTGACAGAACCAAGTCCAACCTAACATTTTTTCTTTTTCAATAATTTCACTCAGATGTATGTCACATACTGACAAAAAGATCTGTCTTTGCTTCTATTTTGTCACGACTTTAAAGGATTGGTATTTAACCACTTTCTTCATAAAAACTCCAAGCTTCAAGAAAACACTGATTCGAGATACACTACAACACTAACAACAAGAGTATTAGACTCTGATCTGGGATCTGGGGTTTCTGCAGAGGCTGCCTCCATCTTCCCGCATGGACAAAGATCTTTGCGTGTCCACTGCGGATACTGCAAGTCATTTAGTTACAGCTGTCTCACTCCTACAAGCCGCCCTGGCGCTCATCTTACCAATTTCCATTTCAGATGAGCCTGTCTGTGT